GGATATACGAATGGATGGTATGGGATGGATTGATATGGGAAGTTGGAAGAAAGGATGGATAAAATGGATTGATGGATGATCGAGATGAGATGAAGGATGCATGTATGCATGGACCAGACGAAATATGATCGGATGGGATAACAAATATATATMGAAAATAAAAATAAAATAAAATAAACAGATAACATATAGAAACAACACTAATGCATACCTTTTTCTAAAAAAGTCGTTGCCATGGCAACAAAAGTCTTTCCCATCCAGACTTGGTGACAAAATGTTTGTGTATGCATTCACATACTCCTCAAGCAGTATTTCAAACGACAAGAGATGCTGCTGTAAAACAGTCACGTGAATTGTGGAGTCGATAAGTATAGGAAATGCCACCTTAGATTTTCTCGAAGAAGTAATGAAAGATTCGACGCGCCTTTGAAAAAATGGGTTAATAACCATGAGTGCAATTGGTATTTTTTCATTAACTCTTCAATTACTAAGAAGGCATTCCATCTTAATAAACTACGCGTTTCTGAAGTAAAAGAAAGAAGGAAAGAAAGAAAGAAAGAAAGAAAGAAAAAAAAAAAAAAAAAGACAGCAAATACCAGAGCGCTGAACTTTGTTCCAGCCAACCACAGCGCGTTCAGATGTTTTGTCGCCGGCCCTCATCAATAGGCTACTGTGACCCAAATTTTGCGATATTTTTTTCTGTTTTCTTTAGACTACTGAAATATAATATACGTACCTACAAAAAGCAGAAATATGGAAAGGAAGAATAAAAACAATTTTACTATTGCGCCACATTTACTTCGTTCCTTCGAGCTCCAAAAATTCTTATTGGCCGGTCATTTYGTCCACTCATGCTTTGCGCGTCGCGTTCACCGCTTGGTTACGAGTAACGCAAATATAAATCGCGTAACGGCGATTCGTCTCGTATTTTCGAGATTGGGTTTTGTGGAATTTAGCTATTGCACGCGCTGTGCAATTAATTGATTGAAGGAATTTGGGACAAATTAACAGCCAATGCGACCAATCAGAAACAAGTATTTTACGTAGACGTGGAGCAGATTAATAAGAAAATTGGCGGGAAACATGACGCGGATAGGCATGATACTAATAATCATAATTAATAATAATAATAATTAATAATTAATAATTAATAATAATAATAATAATAATAATAATAATAATAATAATAAAAATAAATGTAAAGAAATAAAATTGATAATTGAATTGGAAACTTTTGTAAATTATTGAAACGATTTTCAGACTATATTATATTGAAATAATGATCAGAAAAAATTGATAACGAGAACAAAAATAGGGGAAATAGCGAGAGGAATATCGAGAATTGACAATTAAATGTTAAAGTAACCGAAAATCGATGTCACTGATTGCCTTTCGTAAAGATATATTTTCTTTGAAATAGAGAAACTGTTTTTCTCTACCTTTGTAATCTTTGTGAAGTGTCGAGGTGGGCAGGTGAAACTGAAAAAAAATACAAAATCTCACTCGATAGGAAACGACATCGTGTCGTAATGGTTATTCAACACGAACTTATCAAGTATAATTTCTCTTCTTGAAATTTTAAATTCTATCGCAATATYATTATACAACTACAACATTTTCAAATCTTACTCTAGTTTGACCAAGAGTCAAGGAAATGCTTGATATTTGTTATTATGCATAGTTTATAGAGACTATTTAGAAATAAGTTTGCAAATGAGAATAATAATATTTTGACTTTTGAATATTCGGCCAGCTGGCGTCAATAGAAGAAAGAAATGGTTAGTAAACTTTCGATAGATCAAACGTTTCCATGCAAAATTTGCCCAAATGAATTCATGGCCTAAAAGATTTCCAAGTTCCCGCGTTTTTCCTACTAAATTGTACATGTTTTCTCTGATTTTCGCGGGGCAAGAATTACACAAAATACATTGTATAAAACTAGTGTTTGGGGAAAGATAAATATAACTTCATCAGTGCTCATGCCATCCATACAAATCTTTTCGATTTTTTCAACTCAGTGAAAAAAATTCCCATATTGGTATCAGGGTGATTTGTTTTTGAAAGTGAAAATGAGTTTGAATAAGTGAGTTCAATCGTATATTTATCACTACAAGACTATCTATTTAGACAAGCCATGCCTTATTTAACATACAAATTGGAGATTTACAAACCTATATCTTTAGATATAACTTACCAAAGTCTCCCACAAGGCAGCAAGTGAATGAAATAAATTCTAATTTGTAGATTTATCGTTTCTTTTTGTGACGAACAAAAAGTCGAAGAGACAGCCAAAAATGTTGAGTGTCTTTTTGGCACACTTTTCAAAACCCAAGTATGGGACCAAATGTAATGGATTATGCAAATATGATATTATGGATCGCGTTATGTCACGCAACCTTTATTCATTTATTATTAGTAAAAATACATAGGTGATTATTGAAAARCTCGCGCGCTGATTGGTCGAGAAACTCACACAATCACACGATAATCACCTCCGGCGATAATCCAAAATGACGGCCAGCCGCTTCGTTGCTGTTACCGGAGAGGAATTAGAAATAATGAAAGAAAATACTGTCCCCAAAAGGACTAAAGAGGCTAACAAATTTGCACTAACTTTGTTCAAAGGTAAAAAACGACTTAAAACAATCAAATAAGCTCAAACAAACTGTTTTGGTTCGCAAAGTCGGAGTTTGCCTGTGTTGTAATTGAAAGCCGCGTTTGTCACTTCAATTCAAATTTTTCCTAATTTTAAATGTGTCTTTTATCTTTTGTTTTTTTCTTCTTTTTTTGAAAGAATCACCTGTGCATTTATACTAAAACAATTATTTGCCTCAGCCTCAGTGAATATCGGAAAATATTTTCCTCGCCGCTCGAAGACTCACGTCTCTGTAAATATTCCCCGATATTCACTTCACCTTCGGTGAATAATTGTTAATTATATCTGCAAATGGTTAGACCTTCAAGTCTTCTCGGACAAGGACTTTAAACCGTAGGCCCTGTCTCCTAACCCTTCCTAACCAACAGTAAATGGGGGAAATAAAAGAACCACTGAGAACGTAAAAAGAAACCTTGCCAGTGACCACCCTCAGTGCCTCCACTTCATACTAACCATCTCTCATGCTATTAAATTGCATAAAAAGCAATCTGTCATTCACAACTCCATGTAAAGCGCCTTTGATTATATCCACATAGAAAAGGGCGCTATATAAATCATAATCATCATAAATCATAATCATCTTCATATTCCCTTGCTTTTACATTATATCATCATATCATCAWCAACAACAACAAAGACAAAAATGAAAAGAAAAGAAAAAAGGATAGGAACAATTTAAACAAAATAACAATAAAATAGTAAGTTTATTTGCTAAAAAATACCCACCAATAGTTTATAAATTTGATAGAAATGCTTAAAATTTCACTAAGATTTATTACGGCGCAACGAGTAACTTACGTCAAAACGCAAAAATTAAAAATTAAACCAATAACCGGTTGTTTTTTGTTTTTGTTTTGGATAGGAATGACGCAAAAAAGTACGCGCGCACTGTGTACTTTCATTAAGCACGCGCTCCCGACCAATTAACGCAAAATTTATAACAGTTATTTTATAATAGGATATATACTGTACATCAAAATAGCCTCCCCTCAACTGCAGGGTGGTGTTATCCATACACTGTCCTGAGATTTCTCTTGAGTTGTTCAAGGCACATTAGTATAGTGATCACACCAAGGATACCAAACGATATGGACGTCAAGGCCATGTTCTCTGCCTCTGCGAAATCATCTGCCGCACCTGCCTTTTCACCTTTATTCAATCGCTTCTTTCCCTAGTGGTATATAGAGTTGAGTTGAGTTGAGCTGAGTAGACAGTTGATGGAATGGATAGCTAATGAAATCGCCTATCACCTCTGGAGTCTAGGGATCGATTCCCAGATTTTGCAACAAACGTGAGTACAGGGATGGATGGGAATGGATGG